TATAACTCAAGAGCTAACTTAAAGAGATTTATCCTGAAATAAATTTATACTTTTTACTTTAATTTACTACAAATTCACAATGAGTTACATACGAGCACGAATAAAGGCAGATATATATATATATATCAAATCTATAGTTTACAACCCTAATTTTATTGGAAAATAAACTAAATAATAAAATTTTATGTATAATTTTCCTATATAATTTTATATCTCATTTTAATGATACATTTTTTTATTTTATTGATATTTTTTTTTGAACAAATTCGCAAAGGAGGGGAATGCACTTATACATAAACTGACGTCACTCGACCCAAAGGCCCAAGTGCTTATTTTATTAATATTTAATATTATATATTTTTTAATATGTAAAAATTATAAAAAAAAAATTATACCAATAAGTTATTAACCTACCATTACTTTATTTTATTTGTAACTCTTTAATGTAAGGTTACATAATATTTTTATGAAAATTTTTAATTTGTTCAAATTTAAGGGTTTGTATTTATTAATATTAAAAATTATAAAAGTCAACATAAATTTTATTATTATTGGCATATGTTTTATTTTAATTAAGTAATTAATTAAATAAAACTTAATTTTTATCTATTTAATATTAATTAATATTTGAAATGTACAATAATAATATTTTTAATCTATATTTTTAAAATAAAAAACCTTTTTTTTAATATACTCATAAGTATTAAGTTTAATCCTAATAACCAAATAACTAACTATTTAATATAAAAAAAATCTTAAAATATAAATAAACAACTAAATGAGTTAGAACTACCTTGTGCCTTCACACAATGCAATGAATGCATGTCCTTTCCCAAATCAATGATTAAGCTGTTTTTGCTGTAACATGCAAAACTCAATACTCAATTTAAGTCACCACACGTAAGATTCACCCAAGAGATCTTTTATAAGATCATTTTTAAAATGTATTTTCATTTGTCTTTTATTGTTTGCGTAAAAGTAAAAAGGTTTTTCAGTTTCGTTCTAAAAAAGAACAAAATGTACGCACTTTTTAATTAAATAAAAATTACCAAACGATAAATACGAAGATGGATTGTTAAGCAGATTCAATCTTTCAGCTGAAATTATCGTCTCAGGTTTTAGGGTTTTGTTGGATCCCAAATTCAGGAGGAAGAAACTAAGATATGAGATTCAATTGTTGCCACGTTTCCTTCGCTTTCCTTCTGAAATTCTTGAATTTCCTTCAAGGATTCGTCGGATTATCGATTGTAATCTACTCGCTATGGATGCTTAATCAATGGAACCATCACGTCCCCATCGCTCCGCCGCCTCTAGCTCCGTCTCCGGCTTCTTCTCTCTCCCTTCTCTTCAATTACCAGGCTCGGAATGGGATTTTTGATGATGCTACCCCCTTGAATCTCGCCGCCGATCTCGTCTCCGGGATGGATAACGGGCTTGCGTTTGATTTGAATTCCATCAAGCTCCCTGCTCCCTGGTGATTTATTTACTTTTTTGATGGGTTGATTGAAGTGGTTGTCCAACTACTTCATTAAATGCTTATATTTTTCCACCTCATTTGGTGACCATATTGAGTGTTAGTACTGCAGGACATTATGTTGGCAAAAAAATAAAATTAAATATGTATTCGATTTACTTTAAGCAGAAGGGAATTATAGTTACTAAATGGTAGGTAATGTCTAGGAGGAGCTGTTGACAGGTTCCATATTAGGAAGTGAGTTTAATTAGCTTTAAGTGCAATAGGTGTTTGCAGTTGTTGTAGATTATTTGTAAAGAAATGGCCTAGTGTGTTTTTCTCTGTTTTCTAGATTGAGAGAAAATTTATTACATAGTCGTTAATAACTCCACACGGTTTGGCTCATTTTCCCACAGTTTGAATGTGTAAGATTAAGGGATTTTGATTAGTATTAGAATACTAGTATAGTACACTTCACTGCTATTGTAATTCACCTTCAACATTCTATTAAACCGGGGTATATCAATTTGTTTTTGACTGTTTGGGGGTGGGGTATGGTTGAACATTTGGTTTAGTAAAAATAAACTTGAGTGATAGCTTGGTGCTTTCTGTTGGTGGCAGGTTCATATACTCTTTCATGGGTGTGGGCATTTTGTTGTGTTGCGTTAGCCTTATTGGTTGCATAGCAGCTGAAGTGATAAGTAGCTGCTGCCTCTGTTTTGTATCCTTATCTTATTAGTCTCAATTTCATTTGAGATTTGGCTGGCTTATAAATTAGTCTTTAAGCTTTTTGAAGTATTCTTATGATAAACTTTTAGGAATGGTTTCTGAACCATCTTTATGGCTTGCTTTGTAGTTGAATATTACGTATCTCCTTTGCCTACTAAATGGGTAGAAAAAGAAGAAAAGAAGAAAGAAAAGTTTGCTTGAATTAGACTCAACTAGATCGATCCAATCATCTGAACACCTATAAAATTCTTTACTTGAGCTGAGATTGCATACAACAATATCCAAAAAATAGAAACAAAGATAAAATCTTTCAAGCATAGAATGTAAATTTCTTTGTTCTATATTTTTTGAGTTCATTCTCAATAAATTGAGTGTAAATTAATGGCACTCCAGCAAAAAACTAAGTATTAACCTTTAATACTAGTAATGTAAAGAAAAATAGAAAAGAGTTAAATATCTGCCTTTCCTAGCCATATCAAATGAAAAGAGTTTTAGAATGGTTTTTTTTTTTTTTACCTTGACAAAATTTTTAGTACACTCTTCTTAAAATTGTGCTCATTCTACTGGAAGCAGCTTTGGTAGCATTTATTGCAATTGATCGTCACTGGGAGAAGGTTTATTCTTTTTCTTGTTTCATTCTACTTACTAACAAGTTTATGTCAATCCATGGACATTTTTATCTTAAATAATACAGTTTAATGGCAGGATCTCCCATTTGATCCAACAGGAGAACTTGATAGTCTTCGATCATTCATTGAAAGCAATATTGATATATGTAAGTGGGTTGGAATCACCATAGTCACAATTCAGGTATGTCATGGCCAATTTTGGTGGTAGCATTAGTCCATTTGAAGCATTTGTAAATATGTTATTGTTATGATCCCAATATCTGATGCAATGATGAAACGTAATATTGTGCAATGTTTATGATCTATAATTTTGTGCTCCTCTTCTCCATGGACACATCTCCACTTATGTGAAATGACTGAATCAAAAGACTTGAGCGAAAATCAGTTGTACTTGGCAATACAAACTTGCACAATTACTCAAGACTTATCATTATGTGCATATCCTTGCATGTGAATTCTGTTATGGAAATTTGACCCCTTTTTTTTTTCACTACTGAAATGCTAGGATAGGCTTATTAAGTGGTAAACTGGTAATGCTAAAGTTGATCATCATTGATCTAAGGCTTCAAACAATTTAAAATTTTTGGTTGAGAATTTTAGTGCCTCTAGGATATTTTGCCTTGTTGACAATAGCTCAACTAGTGAATGGTTAAGGAGTTTGCCTCCTTTTTTTTTTTTTGTTCCTTCAACCCTGACTAAGCATTTCTAGAAAATAATTATATAGAAAGCAAACTACTAAATTATGCATGATTGAGAACATTATGAAAATGTTAAAATGGCATAAAATTATTAGCTAAGGAAATTGCTGATAAAAAGAAAAAAAGCTAACGAAATTTGTTCTTTTCCCAGATAAATTCTTGTCTAAGACTTCATAAATGAGGTGACCAAACTTAGAATGGACAATATAGGTAATTGGTACATCATGGGAAATTTTCATGAAAGGAAGGTGTTAATTTTCCCTAGACTGGAATGATTTCATTGATTATTGAGAATTCATGCTTTTAATTTGAGCCTTTTTTAATCCATATTGCCACTATCTTTGGTTTAAACTTCTAAATCTATGACAAAATTATTAGAGGTTTCTATGAAAGTTAGCTTCTGTTTCACCTGCATAAAAGGAATAACAAGCAATGGAACATATAATCTTTTCATCCAGTTGTTTTCTAATACATTTCTTTCTGTTATTTTCAGGTGTTGTCTCTGCTGTTAGCAATAATTTTGCGGGGTATGGTTTCTACTCAAAAGGAAGATTTAGATGGTGGGGATGATTATGAAAATGTTAGGGGTAGAACTTATGAGCCACTTCTAAATCCTCAGTTAAGCCAAACATCTAGCTCAGCCAAAGCAGAGACTAGAGGAACACACTCTGACATTTGGGGTTCACGAATAAGAGAAAAGGTATTTATTTTTCTTTTCCATCCTAAACCTTTGAACTTTGATATTTTTTAGTCATCTTGAAGGCTTTTGTTATGAAACTATATTAGCATCCCTGAAATGTGATTCTGCAATATTAAATTCTTTCACTAATAAATGATAATGACTACCTGTGAAATGGTTCAACATTAGTTGTAATGGATTAAGCCATAATGTGTGGTGTTCATATGTATCAGGATATTTGGTTTAATTAATCAGGTAATCATTTAATGATTCTATTTAGTTCTGTTCATCTCAGCATCACAACCTGAAACTCAGCTAGAAATGATATAAATATATGTGCAGTTCACAGGCATATATGTGTTATTTTTTATTTGCTTTTGCAGTACTGACCCATTTGACGTCCTGATTGATAGCTTTTTATTTGACTACCTTATGAACCAACTTCCTTTTCAATTATTTTTGTCACTGTATGTAAGATTCTGAGTCTTCTGTTCAAGTGTGATAATCCCCAGTAATTTCTTCTCCAGTTGCTTTCTCCTTTGGATTTTTGGAACTGGTAGTCTTTCAAGCATAATTAATTTTATTGTGGGGTCTTGAATTTTATTTACTCTCAATCTGTCTGACAACTGTCATCAATATGTTAGATGTAAGAGATTCTGGTTGGCATAATGGTTTTCAGATTTTTCATTAGTGCCAAGTTAATGCTGTTGAACATGTCTGGATTGGTACAAGTGTTTGGAGTTTGGTATTGTTCATTGACGGTTAGGGTATTCGTAACTGTAAAAAACAGGAGAATAAGTAGTTTTCATGTAATAAAGCTATGAAGATTTCTTAAGCTCCAGCTCCATTATTGCAATGAGACAACAATTTCTACATGTTCTTATCATTTATACCTAAGTCCTAACTATTTTTCTTCCACTGGCGGTGTCTTGTACCTATCATATCTCATAGCTCTCTCAAGCATTAGTAATTCTCTCCCGTAATAATCCTTATGAATTTTGTCTTGCAGTATGGATTGAACAGCAGTGAAAAGTATTCCTTGCTAAACCAGAATGCATCAGCCAGTGTGAAATCAAAGTAGTAATTGTTCTGAAAAGATTCATCTTCTCCTGGTATCAAATATATAACGTTGTTTTTAATCTTTTGATTCTTTGCTTTCGTGAAGGAAGTTATGATATGTATATATATCTCTTAAACAGTCTGCTTGTTAAGTTGCTTTGTACTGATGAAACAATTCTCCTAATTGGCTATGGTGTTTGATAATAGACTCTGAAGAATGAGAGCCTGTTCTTTGATCTAATACAATTCTCTCACTGTCATTAAATTTGTTTCATTTACAATTTTGCACACATACCATTTCTACTAATACTATAACCTAAGATGAAGTTCATCTATGCTAGTCCTTGAGTTCCCTTTATTGAAAATCATGCATGTGGACTCAATACAAGGCTTGCATCCAACCTAAAACCAATTGGCGATAGGTGGAGTAGCCTTCCTTGTATTTTTTATACTCGATGTGGGATTTTCCCACTTAACATGCCCCCTCATGTGCAGGCCCGCTATGAATGTCGGGTCCTGTCACGTGGGTTAACACGCCTCCTTAAATGCAGGTTTGGTATCAACTTCGAATCCTGTCAGGTGAGCTAACAACGGGCTTCCCATGGTAGAACATGGGTTCTGATACCATATTGAAAATCCTGCATGTGGGCTCAATTCAAGGCTTGCATCCAACCTAAAACCAATTGGCGATAGGTAAAGTAGCCCTCCTGATATTTAACCCACAAGTTTTTTATTTTTATACTCGATGTGGGTTTTCTCACTTAACACCCTTCTCACTCACCTTTGATATTAGTTTCATGAAATCTGCATGTAAACCCATCGTGTGGTTGTTAAGAGCTCTGGTCCTTCACTCTTCTGCGCTCTGGATTTTGTTGACATTATAATCTGCTGCTTCTTGTCCTCTTTTCGTTCTTTCCCCTGTTGCTTTCTTGAGCAATTTCCTTATGGATCTCGAGGTCACGGTAGATCTGTTGCTTATTCAGATTTTTATTCTTTGATTTGGTTGTTAGGAATAAGTTTTCACATGAAGTTTTCAGTGTCCCACAAGAAAGCCGTACATTTTTTGGGGGGCTATATTACTATGCTTTAATTTTTTAAAAAATCATTTATGAATTTGAGCTCTTATTATGATCAATTCCCAACTTAAAGCAAAAAACATATGGTTATATGTGATGAGGTTGAATTTATTTATATATAAATTTTATATATTATACTTATATAAAAAGTGGAGATTTATTATATATTTTTTAAATGAAAAAATAATTATTTTTTATTAGTCAACAAATAGTATTATTGAATCTCATTAAATTCTGAAAACATTAGTCAATAACATTACAAACTCTAAAACAATTACTGAATCTCATGTTAAATAGAAACATCTGGTGGATATGGTGCTTCTATGTATGAATGGAAAAAACACCTCCTGACCATATACGTCGGAGTTGGGCCTCTATCCCACCGGAGCACTCGTCCGACTATAAAAGGCGGAGATAAAATTTTTATATTATTTTTTTATATAATTTTCATATATAATTAAATGAATAAATACATTCAATATCATATGTTTCATATAAATAAAAAATTTTAATTATTTAAATAATATATTAAATTATATCAAAAAATAATTTAAAAATATTATCTCAAAATCATTTCTCAACTATAAATAGTATGCAAATGTCACTGTATCTTCACGGACGAATGTAGGAGCAGTGAAACACACAAAAAAAGACGCCATTTTAGAGTGAAAATATTTTTTTTGTATTTTTTAATCCATTCTAGTAATTCAAACTCAATTTTTGAATAAAGTCCTAAAACCCTACTTAATTGTAATTATATTCTAGCCTTTACTGTGATCATGAAGAGAAGAGAAACGGTAGAGTTTATTCAAAATTTAAACATTTAAAATTTGAATCTTGACTTGTCCCTTTAGTTTTATGATTGCAAAATGCACACTACTCAAAAAAAATTTTATCCATCACACTACTCAATTTTGAAACTTCTTTTAGTAGTTATTATTATTATTCAAAAATAAAAATAAAATGATTAAAGTACTCAAAATAACAGGCCAATGATTAATGAAGCTTATCCTAATGCGGTGAATGAATGTCATAGACATAGTGGCTTAATCATAAAGATTCTAATTCTTCATGCTGATAAAAATTTTGAATATGAGTGATACCATGCGTGTGAAATTTGATAAAGGATCTGAAAGCCTTGCATATCTTTTTATTTGTGTACTGAAGGGGAGCTTAGGGTAGGGACAAACCCTACTTCTCTCCCAAAAAAATGTTTATAATTTTAAAACATTTTAATTATAAGTCTTATCTATTAAAATAAAAATAATACACAACATTTTTTAATTTTATACTATTGGTTAAAAAATACAATAAATCCTACCCAATAATTAATCTTGATTCGGTTTTTTTTTCTAAAAAGGGAAGTATATTTGATATGCATATTTTTTTGACTCATCTTTTAAAATTTTCTGTTTTGTTGTTAAACTTAGACAAAATATTAATTTTTAAAAGTGCTTCTGATTTTTTTTTAAGTTGTTCTAAACTTTTAAAAGGTTAAAAGTTAAAATTATAAACATATAATTTTTAACTCATAAGTGGGTAAATGAGTTGGCAGAGAATTTTTTCAGTTTAACCAAAAGTCTTGATTTCAAATCTTAAAAATACAATTCCATTAAAACTCTTGAGGGAGAGTTTTGTTGTCAGTTAAGTTCTACCTGAATCGAATCTGAATTAGTCGGTAACTCAGTAAACTTTCGGACACCGGGTGATCCAAACAAAAAAAAATAAACATATAATTTTTAAAGTAGAGATTTTGCTGTTAGGTTTCTAAACTTAATAACTCTAATCATTTTTTTTTTAATTTATTTGAAATCATAATGTTTACTCTACTTAAACAACACTCTCACAAAAATTACAATTTAATCAAACTAGCTCTTAAAAGTTGAACTCCTTGATTTTTGGAATTGAAACGAGAAGTTCAAATTTGAAACGTTGAACAATAACTAGGAAAAACAAAAAAACAAAATGGAAGTGTTTCCATGTCTTCCAAAATGAAAAATCTGTTGTCCCTTTCACTGTTTCACATACTGGCTCCTGTCTCGGCTATAGCATGGATGGACTGAGTTTATTTATGCCAATCCCAGAGTCACGAGATCTCTCTCTGGCTCTGCTCTATTTCATGGACTGCTATAAATACGATTACTACCTCTCACCATAACTGCTTCTTTTCTGCCATCTTGGAATATTCTGTCATTTAAAGCATTGTTAGGCTTAGAGATTTGTCTTAGGGTTTTTTTAACCCTAACACAAATAAAGATCATATTTTATTTCATTATTAGAGTTATATGAATCATTTTAATTGAATAATTCTCTAAATAAAAATTAATTTTTATTTTTTAAGATTAATTAATATAAAAGAGAATAATGCTTATCCGTCTTACTTTCTAAAGATTATGAGAAATATTATTTTAAAATTACGTCATTTTATTTTAATAAACATATATTGAAAAAGATTAAAATATCATATTTTTAAAGCATGAATTAAGATTTTTTTTTCTCTTAAATCTTTTGGAGGTAAGACGGACAAACACTAACTTCAATATAAAAAAGTGTAATAATTATACCCAAAAATACATATTAGAAATAACTCATTTGCAATCCCATCTAATGTCCCAGATTTGTCTCAATTCATAAATCTGATCTAGGATCTGGCTTCTGCTTTGTACTTTGAGTCTTCTAATATTGCATTTTTTGGTAGGAAGACCTCTTATCTTTAATTATTTGCAGAAAAGCCATCAATCAGATCTCCATTGCCATGACACATGCCCTCATCCAGGTCAAAAAAAAAGAAGAAAAAAGACAGATGCCCTCGTCTAACTTTGGGTATCCCAGTTTAATCCCTGTCATTTCCTCAATGAAAGCCATACCACAATTGCTTTGATGCAAGAGGCAGTCCATGTGGCCACTCTGAAAGATTGGATTTTGTCGAGACAGGATTTTCTTCCCTTTTTTATCCAACAATCCCAACTCAGCAAGTTTCATCTTTTTCCCTACCTTGATATACTTCCTTGATCCTTACTTAGGTCCCTCGGGTGACCACCAGTTAAAGCCGTGGTTTATCCTCCAGGCCTGTCGGTCCCTCTGGTGACCATCCTGTTAATACCGTGGTTGGTCCCCTAGGCCTCCAGACACTGACATCACAAATTTATACACCAAACTCTAAGTGATTATAGAAAAAGTTTCTCTATTCATCCTTTAATAAAAGAAAAAAAAAAATCATAAAGAAGTGCTATGCAATCCAACTTAATACGGACTGCGTAATTATAATCTTTGATGGAGAACACTCCTAAATGTAAGGCCTTTTTCAAATCAATGACTAATTTTTTACAGTCCAACCTATGTTTTTTAATAAAAAAAATAAAAACCTACATGTCGAAAACTCTAAATTTGGGCCCTTCTGCAAAAGTGTACATGTGACATGTTGAATGATATTATATTCTCCCATGCACTAAAAACAACAATCCTATAGATACAACATTATATATGATTAGTAAGTTTACGATCTTTCATGATACTAAATGAAATATATTATGACATTATTAAACAAATAAATAAATACAATATCACGAATATACTATTAAATAAAAAAATTAATTATGCAACAACACATTACATAATATTGTAAAGGTTAAATATAACATTTTTTGCTCCAAAAATCACCCAAACTCATCTTAATCACCAGAAACATTTATGGTCTTTATTGCAACCATTCAAGGTTAAAATAAGAAATACCAGAAAACATTAATTGGAATTAGTTGGTGAATGACACAAGTTGAGCATAGCATTACCAAAATGAAGGATCTTGACAGAGGATAGACAACGTCGGGTGGGGAAAAATATTTATATACGTTCTGTCTTGTTAGGAAATACAAATTTAAATGACTTATCGAATAATGCTAATCTTTACCTTTGGGCAGCATTAAACAAATAAGGTGGGTAGAGGCGTAGGCTCATTGTTCTGGAAAATCAAATACATAAAATTCACAAATGATGAGGGTTACAATACACCGTGGAAGAAAATGTCAACTGCATTATACAACCCTCCCTGTTAAATCAACCACCGACTCCTCCACAAGCTCTTCCAGTAACTTACTCTCTATCTCCTTCCCCAGATTATCCATTTCCAACTTCATTTGATCAGTCCATCCTTTACCCACCAGCTCTTCACTTACCATCCTTTCCACAACTAAGCTGTTGCTGTCCGCATCATCAACAAGACTACACTTTCCATTGCCGGAAAACCAATCCTTCATCTGGGCCCACACGTGGTCTACCAGCATGGGTGGTGTCCACTGGAGCCTGCCAAATGACATGGTTCTCGTACAACCATCTGACCCATAACCTGTTATCTCCATTAATGCTGCATTGACAAAATCAAATGCAAGCTTCCGGTTTGATCTCCGTTGTCTTCGCTTAGCCTCGTGCACAGGTTCCTTCTCATTCAAGTTAGCATACTTGTCTCTCAATGATGAGTCCAATGGGCTTTCAGTCAAATGCCATCTCGGAATAAATGAGTCCGATTGCACTTCAGGATCAAGGCCAGCCGCTGACAATAATGATTGGACAAAGAAAAGCCAATCCTGTTCTTCCTCCTTTCCGCATGGGGAACTTGAGGGTTTTGTTGAATATGCTATGGGTGTCTCTGCACAAGAATCACCCCATGATAGCGTGCGAGCAATTGATTCTATAGGTGGCGACTTGTCAATCAAGTTAGATTTTGACAGCTCCTCCACTCCTACATCAACAAATGAAACAGAAGAGGTAAGAGAAAAAGGTTTAGGCAAATAAATTAAAAATCCCCTAAATTAAAAAGAGATTTACCTCGATACTCCAGTTTGATATTGCTGGATGACTCTGGGATGGTGGCCTCATCCTCTTCAAATGGTGGCTCTAAAACTGAGTTGGGACTTGGCTGGTCCAGATTCTCACTTGCGTGCCCAGGCATCAAAGGTTTTGCTACAGACAAAACTGCCTGCAAAAGGTAAGCACGACAATTTCAGAAGAGCAAAAATTCTGATAACATATACAGATAATGTTCATCATTAGCTGAAAAAATAGAATGGGATGTTCAGTACTTTATCTTCAGACAAGGCAGCTAAGTTGACCCAGAGCCTGCTTGATTCTCATCATGCCCAATAACCATTATCAAATTAAGACATTATTACCACAGTATAGAAAAATTAAGACATCATTACCTAGTGTAAACATATTAGGGCATACTGTATCAAGTTTCCATCAGGTCAAATTATGACATTATTACGACAGTATAGAAAAATTAAAGACATTTAAAGATCTCAAATGGAGATAAAAAAGATCCACATCAACCCAAGTTGCCACTGTGATACATACTGCTATAAAACAAAACACAATAATTCAATGCATAAAAAAGAAAAAACAAGAAACAGATAGCAAGGAAGACTGAAGTACCTCTTGAGAAACTATGCCTTCTTTCTTGTCCATGCTGGTTAAATCTGGAGTATGTATTCCTGATCTACCCAGATCAGAAGACAAACACTCTTCAATTGAACTGTTATTTACACACTGAGAGGCATCCCTGTCTGACTTTCGAAGATGAATGACCGGAGACCCTGGTGTTCCAGGTGTGGCAGATGGAGAATCATCCTTATTAGGTTCAGATGCATTAGATTTTTCCTTATTCAATTTCTTATTCTTTGAGAAAAATAAACTTGAAACTTTCCCCTTTAAAGATGATTTTGTGGTTTTTTCCTTAATAGCCTCCTTGGGACCCTGCATTTTGCTAACCTCCGGATCTGAGACTCCAACATTGAGCATTGAACCAAAAACAGTAGAAGACACAGGGACAGATTTTGACCTCAGAAGATTCTTAGGAGACTCATTCATACTTTCTTCTTTATCCACTACACCGGAAGTTGATCCCATAAGTTCTTGCTCCTTATTACTCTCCTCCTCATCAGACCTAGCTGGCTTCTTTGTATCAGAAAGAGCAAGCATCTCACCCAATGTACTAGAGCTTCTCCTGACATGTTTATGTTCCTCAGATCTCCCATTTGATGCCATCATGGCCCATCTTTCAGACAGGCGCTTCTTTGCTTCTCTGCAAACTGATGACTCTGAAGAACAGGATGCACGGCTAAAGGATGGGGAAGAAATAGGGCTACCAAACCTATTAATATAATCCCATGAATGTCTAGATGCTGGTGACATGACTTCTGAATCACTGAGGTTCCCAGCTGCACACTCATTTTCTGATTTGTTGAATGAACTATCATCACCAATATAACCATTGGAAAAGACTGATGAAAGCAAAATTTCTTCCCTCCTGTGACCTCCCAGATTGTCATGCATCTGCCTTGTGGTTTCCTTGGCCACCTCTCTTGATTCCTGTGCAACATCATCTTCAGGTTCCTCATAATATGCTTCACCACATGATATGCTAGGTGATGAGAGAGAGGGAGAAACAACAGTTTTAATGTCCTGAGGCTTGCCAGGGCTAGGCTTCAGTACCACTATTCTCGTTGGTTGGGCAGGATATCCAGGGTTATTTCTATCCCACCCAGTCAGTGGACCAATCTGTGCTGGTTTCTTTGTATGTCTGTCACTCTTCTTCCCAGGTACTGCAAGTTTATCACATTCAACCATCTTTGAAGGTCTAAGGACAGTGATGCGCTTAGTCTCAGGAGGTGAAGGCAAAGACTGCAAACTGTAGAGATGCTGAGAGATCATGGAATTTGGTTCCTGCAGAACCTTGAGGAATAACTCTTTATTGTTGCTCAATACTTCTAATGCATCTTGGAATTCCTTGGACTCCCGAAGCTTTTCATCTGTGGCCAAACGTTTTGCTTCCATAAACTTCTGACGAACTAGAGCCATGTTTCTCTCATTTGCAACATCATTATACCTTCCTTTTTGTTTTGAATTATCTCTTAAACAGCTTGTCTTTTGAGACCGTTGCCAGATTTCATAAACATCTTTGCATTTGTTCAGTTCTTGACAATGATGAACATCACACTGCATTTGCTTGTCCAGAAAGCCTTCATCTTGCCCCCAGCATTCCAGAGGCATTTCCGAATGACTCACAGAACGCCGTGAAGAACCTCTGGAATGGCTTCTGTGTGCAGCTAGATTAGGTTGCTGCCTTGGTAGTGTCTCAAGCCCCATCAACTTGGCAACCACATTGGGTGGGTTACGCTTAGACTCCACTTCTTTTGACATTTCTTGGGCTATGAGTGTCTTCATGGGTGTTCCATTAGTTCTCTGGTTAGATGAAGTTCTTCTCAACTCAGACACAATCTGCATACATCAGAAAGATACCGCAGATATCAGGACACAATGACAAATACTATATATCCCTGTAATTAAAAAACAGACAAGTACACAGACAAGAACAGTATAGAATCTTTCCCACTTGACACTTGTTTATAATAATTACTATCTCAATGACAAAACTCCCAAAATTTACCACTTTATCCTCTACTGGATCTCCAAAAGAGGGGCTCAACATCCTAACCACATCAGAATGACTCCTTGAGATTGAGGAACCTGCAAATCAACTACCTCCATGTCAGCAACACCAGCTAATTGTGACATAATATAAGCACTAAAAACGCAAACGATAAGGATTCTTTTGGCCAAGGATACGAGTCATCAAGGCATGATTTTGTAGGAAGAAAACTCTACCTGATGTGTCATACTTACAATCTAAACCCCAATAAACACAGAAAAAAGAACTACTATCCAAATAAAATTCAAAATGAAAATTATTTTAATCTAGTTAAATTTTCAAAACTTCACAAGTTAAAATAACAAAGAACTGAAGGCTAGCAATTTATGCCAAATGACATTGAAGAGAATTTCAGATCACTTCATTGAGTAGCAAAAGCAATAAATTCTATTTTTCTTCTTTTTAAAAAAATGAAACAAATCGAAAAGCAGAAAAAAAGTATTTAATGCATGAAATGAGTGAATTTTGGAACAAGTTAAATAATCATCAAGGGGACCAAGTCATAGATAATCAGATCAACATGCAATTTACCGAAAATTTCCCCAAATTATCACCACTATTAAGGACGAAAGTGATGGGAAAATTTAAAAAGTAAATTAGATAAACACACAAAGAACAGTTTTCATGTATATACACACACACATACACACGAGGAAATTACCATCACAATGTGGTTTATCAGTCAGCAATCGGTTTCCAGGAACATCTGAGCTCAAGTCAAACAGGTTAACCATTCTGCCTAAGCATCCTGGAAACTTTTCAACGTTTTGAGCTTTTCTGCCTTGAATCCCATTCATTTCAACACCTGTAACAAGACATTTCAGAAAGTTTGAAATTTATTCCCAAAAGGGGTATCAAAACAACAGTTAAGAAAGTAAGGGAAAAGGAAAAGGCTTGAAGGAAACACAGTAACAGCAAGGCAAGCAACAAAAGATGGAAACAAGAAATAATAGCAAACAGCATGAGACCTAGACCACAAAGGCCAATTCGAGCAACCGGTTAGTAAAGCCGTAGGAAGCGTACAAATCAAACCAGCCACTTGTTCAACAGTCACCTTCAAGGCTTAAATTCTAAGCTCCAAAACTGTCTTAAAATAAAAAAGGAAAAAAATAACTAAGATAAGACCCAGAAATTTGAAAGGGAAAATATTAGAATCTACAAAAGAGAAGAAGCAGTCAAAGGTTGTTTTTTTTTTTTTTAAAAAAAAAAGACCTTGATTTAAGAGAGAAGCAAAAGAAGAGAATGTATTTTGATAAAGACAAGTCCATAGCTTTGCTGGGTAAAAATTCAGCAATATTCTATTCTCC